ATATTAATCTAAAAAAAAAACAAACTTGAAACTTTACGAAAACCTAAAAATTGTAAGTTTCCATCTCATTTTGTACTTTCAGATGTTAATCATGCTTATTTATTCAACCCAAACCTTTATATGAATATAAATTATGCAATTTCAAATGACCTAGTGATGTTTTGTGTTATGTATTCATAAATATTAAAATGATAGATTTTAGCACTGACCCTATTTGAAGTTTACTAGCTTTTCAAACTTTTCGAAGCTCTCGAAACTTTTCCTGGCTAATACTAAAGTTACGTAAAATCAGAAGCAGATCGGTACACAGGCTTATATTTTGAGGCTTTTTCTAACTATAATTTTGATTAATAAGTTCTAGCATTCTCTATAAAAAAAATGAAACGTCTTTTAATATTTTGTTTGCTGAATAATATGACTAAATGTAAAAAAAAGTAGATTTACTTTTTATTTGTACTCAGTAGAGTTTTTGTCTATACTAATATTATAAAGAGGTAAAGTTTGTGAGATTGTGAGTTTGTGTCGTTGTAGGGGGTAATCTCTGGATCTACTGAACCGATTTAGATGAAATTTAGTAAGAAGATAGTTTGAGACCCTGGGAAGGATACTTTTTATCTCGAAAATCATCCCTTAAGGGAGTGAAAATGGGGATGAAAGTTTGTATGGGGAATCAAGTTTTATAAAGCACAAGCGGTTAGTAACTTTCTGCTATACCAATATTATAAAATTACATACAACATAGAGGCATAAAAGCAGGCTATGTTACTTAGGGATAATGAAGCTCGGCAGTGAGTGTTGTCTTGAATGTGACAGAAAACATTTCGATATAAAGTTTTAAAATAAATATTTTTTTTATAAAGATAATATAATATAATTTTATGAAGAGGTAATAAAGATACTTGGGGGATAGGCGCTGCATGCCGTAATACAGGTCTCTTAGTACGACAACAGAGGCTACCATATCTTGTGTGTCGACACTGCCTAAGTTAAACTTACACAGATTAGAAGCTAAGATTGTTATTTGTTCTGTATAATAATATATATATGTTAGTTTTTGTATGTAATATTATTTGTGTTTTATTGCTTAATAAATTATTATTAAAATATTTACTATAATATTAGTATAATAAAATAACATCTTTGATATTATTTTCAAATATATTTTAATATCGTTTAACTTTAGTAGAGATGTTTGTAATTAAAACACAGAAAATAAAATCCACACAATATGTTTATTTAAGATCTTTATAACTTAAACATCTATAACATGACAAAATCATGACAAATTCGCAAAAATTACATGACGGACTCGCATCGGAGGCTAATCTACTTTTACAGTGAACTTATGTATGGAATGACACATTTATAAGATTAGAAATTTTAATACATAGATACTTTTAATATTTCTTTATAACTTTAAAAATATATTTTCATATAACTGTTATACGTATACTCTTTATTTGATATGGGGAGTAAAAATAAGTAATTGCAGACTATCTTACAGAATACTTATAATTTTAATATAAATAAAGTTTTTTTTATAATTTTCTTCTTATGTTAATCAATCTTGCTTTAAAATTAAGACTATATAAAATTATTACATTATATAAAACAAAGTATTAATTATTATTATCGTACGAGCTATGAATATCATTTGCTTCCGCAGAATATGAAATGACAATTCGATCGAATTAAAATACATAATACATATATTTAGTTATTTACGGACGTAACCGTTTCAACATTTTATATATATCTAACTACGAACTTTAAAGCTAGATACACACTTATAAAATTCATTACCGGTAAAATTTTGGTGTTAAAATTTTTATTTATTTTATTTTTATAAAATAGACTCTCAATATCCTATTTTACATTAGCTTACGCTCGCGGCTCCGCTCGCTTGTTGTGACGATACTTCTCATATCTGCCTGCCTGTCATTCTCACCATAACTCTTATCTTTTAAAGTCTGTCCTCTATATTTTAGGCTCTTTTCTATCATATATCCCGCGGAAACTTCTTTTTCTGTCTGACATCGGTCCCGTATCAGGATCAGATGATATCAGGAGTGAAGGCTGTCGCCTGTGGACCAACAAGGTGTGTGCATCTGGCACATTGAGAGACATTGTAGCTACGGTCATTGTTTCGTCGGACACAAACAGCTATTTTCAATTTTCAGAGCTACCCTTGGAATGGTTCACGAGACGTGTCTAACTACAACATCATCACACAACTCAATAGAAAATCTGAACAGTAACTTACAGATCCTTACATGGATAAGTTAAATTATATTTTTTTATATTTGATAAAAAATATAGGAATATAACAGTTTTTTTTAAGAATATTTGTGTCCTCAAACAAACGGACAGACAACAAAAAATCTTTATTGGTTGCTATGGTATCGTGCAAATCCAATCCCTTCAAAGTGTGTTCATATCATCATGGTCGGGGAGCTCATTAGCGTCCGGCTACCAAGCGGGGCGCGATGCAAAGAGACACACAGGGAGGACCACTTCGGTGGACGTTGTGCCACGCGGGTTGCTCCTGGTACTTCTCTGACGGCAGAGTGGACTGTGAGAGCTACTACTTGGATATGAAATCTGTTTCAACAGATCTGCCGTTCCGGTCGTAGTTGAATGCGTAAGCGATCCTGCAACGCCCCATTAAGACGGGGAAGGTTTTGTTGGGTTTTAATGGGTAGAAATGGCTTTTCTAGCCAGTGAGCTCCACGTAATCACCTTTATGTATATAGGTGGTATGCGTAAATGCATTTCTCAACATTAAAAAAATCATGCAAATGGAGAGATGAACTAAACATAAGACCATATCGATATACCTAAGGTAGGTACATATGTAGCTAAAAATGTATACCGAAGACACTGACATACACAATCAATTATATATTTTATAAATAGTATAGATTCAAAATGATTGACATCAATACGCTTTAGGTTTAAATATTAAAATGTAAATCTTAAATTGTTATGATTAATAATACACAAATTCAAAATACTATAATTAGATATAAAGATAATTAATTATTAATTTTATTAATGAATAATAAAATGACTTGTAATATTATAAACGAGCACCTAATTAAATAAAGTTGATTTAAATAATAATTTAAAAATTAGCTAAATATTGATATCTCTTTTCTTTAATACAATTAACAGTACAGAAATATACAATCAGCCTAATGGGAAAACAGAATATGTAAGATTATAAATTTATCCGCCTTAAATTAAGTAAAAGCTGTGAATAATATATGAGTATATACGTTTGAGAATAAATAATACTAGTAGAAATTTCATTCTCTTAAAAAAACAATATGACGTTAATTTAGCAAATAGCATAGCGTACCATACAGGCGCAACAGCTGAGTCTCAAAAGAGTTAAGTCATAAAAAAAGTTAAATAGAATTTTGTAAGTAACCTTATTTCAAATCTTTGTATATATTTTCTTTTACTTGACTTTTACTCTACCTACCTATATACTTTTGTCAATTCTTGCATTTCCGGGAATTTTGGCGGGAATTCCGTTAAGATCTAAGACCGACGACGGTACGGATACTATGGAGCGTAGAAATAAGGAGTACTATCTCTGTGCATGAAAAAGTGTCCGTTCAAAGTGTCCAATAAGGGTGGCGCTGCGGTAGCATAAGATAAATTTTAAAGGAAGCATCAAAACCAATTAGTGTAAGATAGAGAAATAAACAAATGGTTATATTTACTAAATTATTTTAGAATACGTAAATAGTTGAGGTTTTGTAATTACTTTGGTCATGAAAAATTTAAAACTTTTGAATCACTCCATCTTCTACAGCTAAATTCATATCGTAGTTTTTCATATGCCAGCGCCATCTATTTTCAGCATAAAGGTGGACACTCTTTCAACTTGTCTACTATATAAGAGACTCCTTACCTCTACCACAGATCATATAATACTATATTACCTCTACTCTCCATAACGGATACGTAGGTATGGGTACCTATTTTTATACTGTCGTAGAAGTGCTATGTAATAATGATAGAATTCAAATGTACTTTGCGCTTGATATTTATTATTCTGTTAACGCAACTCTAAGCCACTAAAGAAAAAAATATTATTTATGATTAATTGTTTGGAAATGTATGAAATTTCTAACTCAGTCTTAGAGACAAATATTTGGAATTAATTTACCTAAATTCCATAAAATCGAAGATGAAGAATGTACGGAGTAAGCAATTACTAAAACTTATGTATATATTATTCCGTCGGTCGACGAATATCAAACTTACTCATTAATACAAAAAAATCAATTTATAAAGAAATATTTTATATTAAAATTAAGAATTGTCATATTCGTTGACTGTAAAAATATATAAGAATTGACATTAATTTTTTTGTATTTAATTTTTTATACCAAAAACTCCATTAGCCAACTTACCAATATCAATATATTAAGTTAATTGTTCCATTAAATTTTCCCGAGAGGAAAAAACTCCTTACAGCTAAGTGTAATTGATCATATTAGTCTAATAATTCGTTTTATCAATCCAAAATATATATGTACATATTTCTCTTGGCACTGATATCTTTATCACAGATCCTTGACGAAAACATTCATTCTTATCAACTTACTCCTGTTTCAAACCGTCCCTTAAGCATTAAAGCCAAAATATTTAACTATAGTAATAAGTCGTGAATAAAAAATAAATAAATAAATATGATAACGTCCTTTAAATTGCAGATTAGTGACATTGCGTAAAAAAGATGTTCTATAACTTTTTAAATTATCGTGTATAATTACATATATAATATATTTAGGTATTATTTGTATTAAATGATACTCCTGAAGTTGAACATTCTTTATATATTTTTAACATAAAATACTTTTTATCCGATTTCTGTTTTAAGAGACGTTTATAACTGGGACTTACTCTAAGTACTTTTACATCTTTACCTTTACTGGTTTACTTTATTACCACTGTGTCTGTCCCTCATTTTGACACACTAACTACAATTTAATGTTTTCATCATCATCTTTATAATTTTCACACAAATAACTTTTAACACTGTCATGTCGTGAAGATTCGGAATCGAATAGCTTACTGACGACTCGATCTTTAGAAAATATTCTAGGCGGATTGAAAGTGTCGAGCTTAGTTTCTATTGAGAACTTTCTTTTTCTACCTTCATTTGCAACTTTTCCTAAGTCCAATGAGAAGCTATGTTTTATAGGTTTTTTTTGTATAGTCACACTAACTTTGCTTTCTAAATCAGTTTCGTTCTTATCTGCCACATCTGTACTATTCTCGAAACCTTCATTGCCATAAACATCGTTCAAGGTTTTTTGTGCAGTATTTTGTGGCTTGCTAAATACTAACTTGTCAGTATCGACAATAGTAACTATAGGTGAGGATTCCTTTATTTTACACGACTCACCGAAAACGAGATCTAGCTTTTTGTTACTGGTACAACTTTCTTCATCGCAAACTGTATCACCTGACCTTTCGGCATCAGATACTGTTTTATTCTCTTGTATAGTGCACAATTCGCACATTTTTGCCGAAGGTCGATTAATTTCATTGATGCACAATGATATTGAGTGATTATCGGAGTCCTCAGACGTAATTGTATATCTCTCCTTTAGTCTCTTAGGAGTAGAAACAATGGTTTCTGAAGAGTTGTATCGTACTGTGATGTCGTTATAGGCTGACTGTTTGTGTGCGGGAGACATTATGGTGTTATTGTAACATTTTTCAGCCTGAGAGCCACTTCTCTTTGAGTGAATTCCAAAAATGCGTTTGATTGATTGTCGAAACTGGAAAAGGAATTGTATAAAAGTTCAAAACTTTTGTTTTGAAAAATTATGCAAATGAGCGAATGAATTTCTAATTTTTTGCTAATTTAATTAAAAAAATAATAGTACCATTAAACTCTCTTATAAAAAATCACATTTTTATGAAAGGAAAAATATATATAGCGAGAGGCTATTATTACCGTATAGTGTATACTCGAAATAGAGATGGAATGCGTAATTTATTGATTAGTATAGATATAATATTTTATATTTACCTGAGTATTCATACCGACATAAATTAATGGATCGTAGCAGATTGAACTTTTAGCCACAAGTGCCGGTATGACTCCAGCGCCCGGGGACACCTGGAAATAATATGATTTAATTACAACTTGTACCAATTGTATTAACAAATTGTAACAATTTGCTTGTTTAATTTTATAGATTTGTGATAATATGATTGGTGTAACTGATACATAACATCATAATAAATAGTTTATACATAATTACAATAACTATAAACTTTAAATATAATTGTAAAAAGATGTATTTAGATGTATGTTTTGTTATTATTATAATTTTACGAATAACTGTACCATTTTAAGAATAACACTGTCAAGTGAACTAATTTGCTCATTTGAATTGATTTTATATGAACGTTATATCAACAAGCTAGGAAAAAGATGATAAAAATATGATATGTATATTGTATATACGATGATATGTATATACGAGATAATATGTATAATGTATATATGTGATTTGTAGCATGACGGCTGATCTCACTGAGATTAACTAATTGTGCGGCACTTCTACACTTTGCACTATTATATGTATATTCCGATGAGATGCGACTCGACAAGACTGATGAGAGATAAAGTGTGCTTTTCAAGGCACGTGGTGACAACATCAACTCATAATGTCCCAACTTCGGGCTACTATTTAGGCCCAACCCAGGGCTTAAACCCAGGACCTCTTAACCTGCTGTCGTACATGCTAGAATAATGAGGCAGTATAATATATATCATATAAGAAACACTGAAAATCTACGACTTTATTTGCTTAATTTTTATCAACTAACACTTATGTATGTATTTTTTGGCAGCGTATTCGTTGGCCTTTCTAGTTTACCAAGGTAAGGTAAAATTACTACTATAAAAATTATTAAAACTAATTCTAAGTCAAACTATTTATTAATTTAAATGACTTACAATTCCTTCAGTTGCAAATTGTTCCATGAGTGCGAAGAGCGAATAGGGAGTCCAGGCTATTGTGAACGAGATTATCATGATTAGGACCATAATAGTCGCTCTTGCTTCAGCGCGACTGACTCGTCCTAGACGTTGCGAATTCTAGATAAAAAGGTTTTTCATTAATATTTTCTTAGTTATAATTGTTTGTGTATTGAACATTTTTAACGTTTTCTCAGACATGCAGGTTTCCTCACGATGTTTTCCTTCACCGTAAGGCAAGTGGTAATTAAGTTAGAAATGATTCGCATATGAAAATATTTGAGGAGGACCCGGGATTTGAACCCGCTTCATTCGGTTTCCAAAGCGAGCGCGTTACCACTGGGTTACCACTGCCTATATAATTGTTTATTACACATAAATTAAATATAAATTTATCAATTTTAACTTTCCTCTTTCTCTCTGTGTTGGCCTGTGTGGGCAATAAGAGGGGGAACAGACCATAGTCCAACACGCTGATCAAACGGTTGGCTGGACGTTGAAAATGATACATTCGTACTCGTAAAATTATCACTCTTGTGAGATTCGGAATTCAAACCTACTTCACTTGGATTTTCCAAAGGAGGATAATATTATCATATTTTAACTTAAAATATAGATGGATATGAATTTTGAATAAATATTAAAAATGTGACAAAACTAACATCCAAGTATCAAAAAATTTTTTACAAAAAATAACTTTGGCTTCCTTTCATTTTTTTTAATATTATTACAGATATTAATTATAATTAGAAGAAAATGTAACTTAAGTTAACCAAGTAAATTAACACGTTGCCTGCGGTGTCGGGCTGAAACAACCTTACGCATAACTAGCTAATAAATTCGTTTATATTTAGTTGGTGCGCCGTGTGGGCTTCATGATTTTGGTTTGCCTATGAGTTAGAAACTGAAAATTATATATTTAGAACTAGCAGAACCCGTGGCTTGGCTCGCGCTAAAACTACAAAAAAAAGGTTCTATGTAAAATCTCTAGGTTTCATACAAACTTTCATCCCCTATTTTACCCCCTTATAGGATGAATTTTCAAAAATGCTAAAACTCGTATTTATTTATTGTATTGAAGACCATTAATACCAAGTTTCAAGTAATTCTGATCAGAAATAAATTTTTGGATTGTATTATAACGTGTTTTCCCGTGAGAATGAGATGATCATCTCATACCGCGATAAAAATTATGCCTATGTTACTCTCCAGCTATTCAACTATCTTCACACCAAAAATCACGCTAATCCGTCACACCGTTTCGACGTGAAAGAAAGACAAACAAACACACAAACTGACAAACAAACATACCTTCACATTTATAATATTAATATGGATTGCCTTTTGTGATGCTTTATGCTACCTATAGAATTTAAATCGTAGTGATGACAAACATGATAGTAAAATTAATAAAAATATATCCGTTTTTTGTTTGGTTAAAAATTCTGTGTAAAACAGACTATAATGAAAATCTAGTTTAGTAGATAAAGCTTTATACATTACCCGTTTCATAGTCCTGATTATATTAACGTAGCTGAAGGTGATGATTGAGAGCGGCACGATCTGACCCATTGCGAACAGGAACAGTATGTAAGTCAGAGTGTTCATGGACTGCTCGTGCCAATTCACTGAACAACTGGAAGAAACAATAAAATTAATGACGTACAGGGAAATTTATTTAAAACAAAAATAATTTAGTTTCAGCCCACGGTTTCGCTCGCGTAATAAGCTTGTAAGTTTTTTCCACTAAAAATAAATCACTAAATTAAATAAATAAAAGAAACTCACCTTGTGGCACTTTCTGACCGATAAATACTATTAATTTGTTACTCCCGTGCATAGGAGTGGGAATATCAGTAAAGATGCGTTATGTTGTACGTATATTACCTGTTCTACTGTGTTTGAGTACAATTTAAAAACAGCATCGACTGTGATTTATAATGATCCATGTGTGTTTGACCGTTGACGTTTTATAATGATCATAATAAAATAGCGTGACTTAGTAAAATATAATAGCTTGTTATCGTTTCTACAAATGTATAGTATTGGCACGCAGGATAAAATTTGTGGAGCTATTTTTGTTTTTGTTATGCCAATTGCCAAAGAAGTATAACTTCTTACGTGCGTACATAAGTACACACTCATTTTTTTAATTATAAAACCTCATTCAAGTTATGTATATAAATTTTAAAGAAAATTCACTAAAAATCATTATTTTTAAGTTAATGTTGAAATCGGTAAACCTTATTATATAAAAAGTATTTGTTCTTATCTATAATTAATCTTTCTTAATTTGTAAAATGAAGAGCTTGGCACGGGATGTGACAACTTTAATCTAAGTTTATATCAAATTGATTCTTCTGTTGAATTTCTTCTAATTAATTTATCGTTTTTATGGAGTGGATTGAATTTTAGTATAAAAATAATTGCTTTTTTTTCAAGTTTTGACCAAATTATAAATATTTCAAAGGTTAATTAATATTATAAAGGTATATGTTATATATTTGTCAGTAGACCTAAAATAATTATTTGAATTATAGCAGGATAGTAAATGTTTGGGACCCTAACAGTCATCTGCCCGTTGACATTCGGGCCCCCATGATGGGTTTCCTCAACGATATCAAAAAGAAGGACAATGAATATTTAAAGTTAGAAATAAAAGAAGCATCCGTAAAGCAAAATTAAATTAATAATATATTTATTATTTCATTTGCCTGTTTTAACCAAAAAAATTTGAAATTATTGAACTAATTCTTAACTGACTTGAAAAAAGAAGAATCCTCAAATCAGTTTTATGTTTAAACATATTTTAATTATATATGGATTACAGGCGCCGCGCCGTCTTGATTTTTTTTCTTTTCAACCTAAAGAGAGGGGTATCAGTGTTTTTGCAGCCGATCACATCAACAGATCTAATATCTCGTTACGAATATTTTTTTCGAATAAACTAAATATAAAAATTGCAACTGCGGTAGGTATTTAGTTAATTATTTGAGGCAGCATTAAATTAGCTGTTTGCTCACTATAGAAAGGACAATGCAACCTTTTAGTCCAAAAGAAGGTTCCATTGTCGTTTTTATGGCATTACTTTTTTTCTTTCGCTCGTAATGAAACTTAGATCATAATTAGAAGACTATGGAAGGATTCTATTAAAGAAGAAACGAACTCGCTAAGCCGTAACAAACCAGAGATATTGTGTTTGCTATTTCTTTTTATCAGGCGTTATTTGTTAATAAGTACTACTTGTTTAGGCCTTAACGGGACTTTAAATGAAAGTATAGTGGACTGTATATAAATTACGTATAATAAAGCGCTTATAGAAGTGCCCGTAGTCCGGCATACGTCCTACGGTAACGACTTCTTTGTTTCAAAAAAAAAAAACATACAGTCGAATTGAGAACCTCCTCCTTTTTGAAGTCGGTTGAAATGAGCTTACCACAGTCAAAGTTCAACCATTGTCCGATGACACCGATGACTTGATTTTTCAGCAGTAATCGGCATATCTCTCGATGGACTATATGTTTAGGTTTTAACGGGACTTTAAATGAAAGTATAGAGGACTGTATATAAATTACATATAATAAATTGAGCATTTATAGAAGTGTCCGTAGACCGTAGTCCAGCGCGCAGGTCAATATCCAAGTGGTCGCACGCCACGGCGTACCTCGCGGTCAGGTGAGATGCGCTCACGGCTGGCCTGGGTCCCCCGCCCGCGCGGCGCATACGTCTCACGCCCGGTGAGAGGGAGACGCACCGATACTACATTATTCTACTCTTCGATCAACAATATTACTGTTAATCGTAGAGTCTACTATACCAGCTTTCGTAAAGTGACTCGACTCCTTTCTAGATCATATACAATAATTGTATTTAGTTAGGGGATCCAGGTAAGAAGTGAATCCATTTCTATCTCGTTTTCGTTTTGATTTCTTATATTTTTTTTATTATCTGCCGTCAGCCGCGTAGCTAACAATAAATACGAACAAACGTACCTATTACATAGTTTGTAGTTGAGGTAATTTTTGGATAGTCTCTCCGAATGCTGATTGTTTAAATAGTAAAATGAAAGACATCTCATCAAGTTTTTCCACCTGTAGTTTGGACAACAACGTATTGAGTGATATATTTAAGTACTCTAATATTATAGAAAAAGATTTGGTTTGTTTATACGCGCTAATCTCTGAAATTACAAGTCTGATTTGAAACATTCTTTTGCTTTTTTAGTCTATTTATTGATATAAGCTATCCAACATAATGCTGCGACCTTAGTACCTTACCTTACCTTAGACCTTAGACCTTACTTGACATTTTAAATAAAACTATCTTTTCGAATTCTTTATGGTTATAAATATAATAATGGCAACACTAAAAATGTAGATTAATAATTAATATTTTTTAAAATTGTAATAATTATAATAATAACAGCTCAAATTAAATAAATAATATATATTCAATTATAAAGCTAATTAAAATTATATAAAAATGTTTAAAGTTAAAAGTTAAAATATTGTAAGGTACTTTAGTGCCATTTTTCAATTTTTTGAATTCATTTTGTTAATTGTGGGTAGGCTGTCTGTAACAACTATATAATACCTTAGAGACATCTAACACCTCAGTCTCTCCCGTGACCATGATTGCTGTAAAGCATTCGAAACGTCGGGAACCAAAAATCAAAATAAATTCGCGAAAAAATCCGAAAAGATAGTTTTATTTAGTGATTATTATCAAAGCATAATGCTTCTGCTATAAGAAGATATTCTAATAATTATTTGTGTAAAAACATTTTATATCAAGTATATTCGTAGTTTTGCATACTTTATTCAAACCATATTATAATAATCTAAATAATTGATCGAATATTAACAGTAAATAGGTTTAGGAGGGACGGTTTTTAATAATTGTGTCATCGTTTAAGTACATTTTTTACCACGAGAATATTTTTCTTTTTTTACTAAAATCACAATGTCCATTTTTTGGGCCTGTAATCTGAATATTCTCTTTTGTCAAAAAATATAAAAATGATGATTTTTTGATATCTAAGATATCTAGACGCTAATCTAAACGGGTCTATGTGAAACTGTCTTTATCGATGTTAAAAATAATAAAAACATTTTGGTGAAAAGAATTTAGTTTTGATTAGTTTTGGGTTTCCCATAGACTACATTATCTTCTGTACATACATATAATAAAATTCTAACGGAGTGGAATCTGTAAATTAAATATTTTTTGGAATATCTTATTGAAATAGTTATTATTACAGAGTCCGAATCTATAGTTTTTAGATTTTTTGTCTGTCTGTCTGTTTTTCATACCGAATTTCATTTTGATACTTCTTATAGGTACTTCTTTTTTATACTTTACAGCGCCTGATCTCTCATTGGTCGTGTCAAATTGTCATGAGGGGACTGTGACATTGTAAATTTATAACAGTAATTAGTATTGCCCGCGGTTCCGCCCGCGTTCAGATGACCGACAGATTTACATAGTACATTTTAATTTTTATATTTTCTTCTCAGAAATGAGACATTTTCCCGCGGTATTAAGTATTTTATATGTTGATTTGGATAACCAGCTATCACCATACCACATCAAAATCCTTCCACTGGTTTTTCTGTGATGCGGTAACAGACAGAAAGACAGACAGACAGACAAAAATTCTAAAAAGTATAGAATTGGCCTAATCGTATCGATAATAATGTTTATTTCAATAAGATTTTCCAAAAAATATTTAATGTACAGATTCGACTTAGTTACAATTTTATTATATGTATAGATGAGAGCTGTTTTCCATTATATGGCGATAATCGAGAGTTATGACGAATAAGCTACGAATATGGCTTTTAGGAACTTAAGTGTTGTAGATCTATGGGGTGTTTTCTTATTTTTACTTTATTTAATGACACCAAATCGATGTCTTTAACATCGGGCACATTTTGTACTAGTAGGAAAAATTAGTTAATGTATTTTTTCTCTAGTATATATGTATTTTAAATCGAGTAGGACAATAGAGGGATCTTGGGACTTTAATAAATAAATATATTTATTTAAAAGCTTGTTAAATTGTAAAGATTTTAAGCATATTTAAATTTTAAATATTATTATTTTTCAGGTGAAAAATGATTCAATTTGAGAAATGCTGTTTTTATATTCCACGGAAGACGGGATGCTTAATTATAGGATACTTAAATTTGGTAAGTTTGAATATATTTACTAATATTAAAACATGACCGTGTGTCCTCCTGGAGATGAACTACTGGTATCTTACTTACACTTTTTCGTTATAAAAGTTAAGTTATAGATTCAAAGTTTAAATACTTACAAAATATCCCATATTTGATTACGTTATTTTTAATTGCGTATGTTTGTTATTGCTTCACATTGAAACGATTGGACTGATTTGGATGAAAAATACACAGATAGAGTGACCTGAATTATTAATCCATTCATAGCCTAGTGTTAGTTATAACATTTGCCACAAAGTGGCGCTAGCAGTATAATATTAAACATATAAAAGATACATACATAGGATGCACACGAGCTCAGAGAGGGTCAGTCGCTAGTAAAGATTAAATATGTATATAATTTCAAATACCCAATTTAAAACAGTGTTTACTATAAGCTTGCTTTCGATTCTTCGCATTCTCATATAAAGTATGTTATATTTGATTGGTAAAGCGAGCGAAGCCGCATGCAGAAGTTAGTAAATATATATCATATATAATCATATTCTGGACTGAAATTTTTTAGTCAACCAATTTGCAATATATTTATGGACATATTTAATTTGATATAAAATACTTTTCATCCATTAACCAGCTCGGTGAAGGTCGTCTTATACTGGGATCCTATACTATACCTACCTATCAACTCTTACCTCAAGCCGCGTTAAGGAGCTCGTTCCAAAACCTTATTCTAATAAGAAAAGGTTGCCTCACGAGTCACGGTGTTTTCCTTCACCGTAAGACAAGTGGTAATCATGTTAGAAATGATTCGCCAATGAAAATATCAGAGGTGCGAGACCCGGGTTTTGAACCCGCTTCTCTCGGCTTTCCAAGCGAGCGCGTTACCACTGGGCTACCACTGCCTTTTTGATAATCTATGCCTTTGCCAAATTTCATCAAAATCTGTTAAGCGATATAAGAGTAACAGAAGAAGAAAAAGTAAGTAACACAAAGACAGACGGATTTTCTTTCACAATTGTAATATTAGTAAGTACAGATTAAAATTAATAAGTACAGATTAAAACAGCTATAATTAACATTTTTATTTTTTTCAGATTGGATCAATTATAGGATTGCTTTTTTCAATATATGGGATAGTTTTGGGAGATCAAGCTACACGATCTTCTAAACCGAAACATGTTGATGTAGCTTACATGATAATTGGTTCCGCTGTAGTGCTTGCGCTTATTTTTCTGCTAGCGTTTGCATTTTGTATCGTTCTCCTCGTAGGAATAAATAAGGTAAATATATAATATATGACTATTATTATTATAACACCCATGTACAAACCTTCGTGCTCATCACACAAATGAACCCCTAGCGGGACTAGAACCCGCGACTGTTGGCACAGTAAGTAGGGTCACTACAAATTGAGTCAAACGTATCGTCTAAAATTAAAACTAGTATTCGTTTAGAAAAAATGAAGCCTAAAATTTTGTTATATGATTGTTTTAATTACATTTTATGTTAAAAGCTACTTTTTTTTTTATTTACATATTATGTATGTGTAACCATCTTTACATCTTTAGCAGCAAAAATATACGAGTTTTGTATATTACGATAGCATTTTGACCTCCTTAATTGTCAGTCCAGTCATGAAATCCCTACTTAATTGACATCTCGTACCTATAAACTACCCACCTGCCATTTCAGCTTTATATGTCAAATAGTTTTCGAGAGTTAGGGCTTAGTCAGTGCGTGAATAAATGACCTTTCGCTTTAATATAATTACAATGTACATAAAACTTTTTTAGATTTACACGAACATTTAACATTTTAATTAAAAGTATCTTTTCTGTTTTATATGCGGATTTATTTTGATTTTTGGTTCCCGACGTTCCCAATGCTTTGTCACAATAAACACAGCATAAATTATAATATATTACATATTATACATACACACATATATTCTTTGTATAACGGTTAAAGTATATTTAAAAATTATATGTTTGTTTTTCTAGAATAAACCTGGGCATGTGAAAGCTTACTTAAAATATAACTTGATCTTCCTAACTATACACGCTGTCTTGCTTCTCCTCAGCATTCAAATCGACGCTCTTTTGCTTTTGGGTACGTAAAAATAATAATCGCTCATATCTTTATATATATAGTTCTTCTGTGAGTGTGTATGTCACTGAACTTCTCTTAAACGACTGGACCGATTTTGATGAAATTTTTTGTGTGTGTTCAAGGGGATCTGGGAATGGTTTATATTCACAATTTGAATAATAATTTTCATCAAAAAAATTATTAAAAAAGTTTGAAATTTTCAAATTAAAGACGTGTAGACAGGACAACGTTTGTCGGGTCCGCTAGTATTATGTAAATGATTTGTGAGTGCATGAACAGATACCATGACCGGTTTACCTGATATATTTTATATTTACAAATATACGGTGGGAGGAGATACGCAAAATAACCAAGGATACGCATACGCAAAATAACATGGTTTAGTACGGTACCTACATAATAAATATTTTTTACTCCGTCTGCCCAGACACCGTAAAGAATAAACCTTTACATATAAATAAAATTGAAGTGTTTATCTGTGATTTCAAAATAGCTATATTTTCTCAAGTATATTCAGTTATTTATATGATACCAGTACCTAAACAACCCTTTTTTAAATTTTTGTTTGTCTTAATTTCTGTTTGTCCGGGGTAATCTTTGGAATTAACTAATTGTAATGAGACTTCCACCGAAAGATTGTGAATTTGTAGCATTACATAATCTGGAAAATCGAAAACCCTTAAAAATTACGCAAAACGCAACGCAATAACTATTTTTATCTATTGAAACCGTACCTACCTAGGGACGCCCCGAGCGATGCGAGAGTAAGTCGCTAGTAATACATAAATATGTTGGTATAGAAAAAGCCTGCAAGTATTTTTATGCAATATAGTTTTTACAACCTACATATAAGCATGGCTCTCGTATTTTTTTCACAAAAATAACTTAATATTGGTTCGTTGATAATAATATATGTTGTATTTTTCAGTTCTTTTCATTTACTTCTTCCTCGTCATCAATAGTTATTACACAAAAATGCAAGAGGAGAAGGCTACAAAGGAAATTCAAAAAGTTTAGATGTTTTACTAATAATTGTTACTAAAACTCGTATTTAAATGTTATAGGACAATTTTATAACTGCAAGTAATAATTTATAGAATTAAATGTATGAATGAATTAAATTGACGGTGACTGCTTATTTTATACGCTACCTTTTTTATAATATTTATTTGTAACTAGCATTGGCCGCGGCTCCGCCCGCGTTTTGATGACCAAAAACCAAATTCTTAGGTTTTAAATAGTAGTACTCTTACATTGTAGTTTTTGTACTTTTACTCAGAAATGAGATACATTCCCGCGGTAAAAAGTATCCTATATGTTGACCCGGATAACCAGCTATTATCATACCAAATTTCATCAAAATCTGTCCAGTGGTTTTCTCGTGATGCGGTAACAGACAGACAGACAGACAAAAATTCTAAAAACTATAGATTCGGACTCTGTATCGATAATAATGTCTATTTCAATTAGATTTTCCAAAAAATATTTAATGTACAGATTCGACTCAGTTACAATTTTATTGTATGTATAGATTTTGTGTATTAAATAAAAATTGGACTTATTACAGATCAACTTATCATCACAGAGGGTAGAATATTTATATAAATAAAAATAATTTGCCGAATGTACATACATATGTAAGCGCAACACTTCCTAATTCTTTCTTTGTTGTGGTTGTAATCTCAGGACAAGGTTTGTATGAAAGACTAGCGAGTCACCCTTGCTTAGTTACATTTAAATTTTTTTGAGCAGAACCTTAATTCTTTTACTGAAATAAAAGTAGCCTAACTTACTCCTTATAACATCAACTACCTGCCAGTGAAAGTCCCGTCAAAATCGGCCCAGCCGTTTCGAAGATTAGCCGGAACGTACAGACAGACAGACAAAAATTTAAAAATTGTGTTTGTCTTATAAATACCGTATATAATTCCAGAAGTATTTAGTAAAAAGCTGTTATTTTGCCATTACAAACAGACACTTCAATTTTATTTATCTGTATAGAAAATGTTTGAAGTAAGTATAATGTTAAATATAAAACGAAAATCTAAACGCTAAATAAAAACCTCCATATTAAATATCTGAACAGGAAAATCGTATGACATAATATTTCCATTTTTTTTCGTATTTGTACGCAAGTAAATGTGTTATAACTGAATCCTAATTTCTATCGAATTTCTTGTACTTCTGCACGTATACCGATTTAAGTATAATTATTGATTGCATAAGTATAAATTAAATCGGCATAGGACGCAGTTACAACTAATATAATAATGTAAAAGATTCTGAGTTATAGTGATTTAATTCTTGTATAGTTGGGTACATATCAAATTAAACAGGCCCGATTATATTATGGGAAGCATATAAGGGCAAATGGCTCTTATGTTATAGAAGTGTACAGGGAGATGGGCAGGGTTACTACAGGAGCTGCCAACATCTAAAACTAAATGGTTATTAAAGGAAGTATAAAATCAAGACATAAAATATATTTTGTTTGATAACTAAAATATTAGTTGATAGCTCTTTAAGTGGGAGAAATGCAATAATTCGATATTACTGCAACTGTATTGTGGAAAAAGAACAGTCGGTTGCTGTGCTCAGACAATGAGGATAATATGGTTTTTTGGGTGGGCACGGCACTAAGGTTTTATAACACTTACTGCACAATTATAAATATTTAATTATGTTATTCTGATGACGATGATGATTTATAAAATAAATTAAAGTATCCAAGTATGTGTTTTATTTCTACATATTGCTGAACCAATTTGCCTTATTAAATACTTGTAAATAATATGTTAGTAAGAACAACTCAATAATACTTTCTTAGATTTACGCGAATATTTGACATTTTAAATAAAACTATCTTTTCGGATTTTGTCGCGGATTTATTTGCATTTTTGTTTCCCGACGTTTCGAATGCTTTACAGCATCCATGGTCACGGGAGAGACTGAGGTGTTACATGTCTTTGAGGTATAGTTGTTACAGACAGCCTACCCACAATTAACAAAATGAAAATTGCACCAATTACATTACAATATTTTTTAACTTTAAACATTTTTATAATTTTAATTATAATTGAATATGGAATATTATTTATTTAATTTTTGCTATTATTTTTATAATTATTACAATTTTAATTTTAAATGAGAAATTTCATTTGTAAAAGTATATAGTAATAGTGTTGCTTAGTAAGTTGTTTTTAAATAATAGCAAACTAAATTAAAATAATTATCCTTAATTAACTTTAACTTTTTAAATTACACATAGAACAATTATATGGCCTAAATAATTAACACTATATTTTATATTTTTCTTTATGGTTATAAATATAATAATGGCAACACTAAATATAGATTACTAATTAATATTTTAAAATTGTAATAATTATAAAAATAATAGCAAAAATTAAATAAATAATATTCAATATTCAATTATAATTAAAATTATAAAAATGTTTAAAGTTAAAAAATATTGTAATGTAATTGGTGCAATTTTCATTTTGTTAATCGTGGGTAGGCTGTCTGTAACAACTATACCTCCAAGACATGTAACACCTCAGTCTCTCCCGTGACCATGGATGCTGCAAAGCATTCGAAACGTCGGGAAACAAAAATGCAAATAAATCCGCGACAAAATCCGAAAAGATAGTTTTATTTAAAAAAACAACTCAATATTCGACGGTACGGAACCATCGATGCATGAGTCGAAATCATACTCGCATTTGAAAATCATTACAGCCATCAGATTATTAGTTACATATACCTAACATAAGTCCAAAGAATTTGTTTTTTTTTGGTTCAAATGCGGACGAAACCACGGGTACTGCTAGTTATTAATAACTAGCGGCTCACCTTCGCTTCGCTCGGTTTCGTCCCTGGATTGATTCCCTATACAAACTTTCATCCCCATTTTCACCCCTTTCAGGAATGATTTCAAAATCTTATTGAAATAGACATTATTATCGATACAGAGGCCGAATCTATAGTTTTTAGAATTTTTGTCTGTCTGTCTGTCTGTTACCGCATCACAGAAAAACCACTGGAGGGGTTTTGATGAAATTTCGTATGGTTATCCGGGTCAACATATAGGATACTTTATAAATTAATAAAATGCTTAATTTTTGAGAATATGAATTGGTGTACTCTAGTTTTGCTAAGTACGTAAATTAAGTTAAGGCTGTAGTAAATAGGAATTTATGAACTTGTTGGAATTAGAATTGAAGTTTAATTTTCCGCTTTATTCGCTCATCCGGTAATATACAATGATGCAATATACATATATCAGATTTCCTTTAAAGAAATACCCGATATACTCGCCAATAAATATATGCCAATTAAGATATGTTAGATGTTAAAGCTCGATTAGTGAAGCTTTGTCTGTTCTCTAAAGTGAACGTGTACGTCGGTCAAAAGTAAGTTTGAAACATTTGTATTTATTAACTCGAAATTTTGATTTTTAAAATTTTCTATAATAAACTCCGTTTACTTGATAGGATAGAGATATATTAATAATAATATGAATTGAAGTTTTCAAGTGTTATTAAGACTCTAAAAGGCCTTATTTTTTACTCGACTATGGTGAAGCCCAAAGGAAGATAGCCCCAGTTTTTGCTACGAATAATTGTAGCGAAAACAGTGAACTCGCTAATGTTTATAATAATAAAACTGCGTATAACTTTCACAATACTTAGGATATTTTTATCGAAATCTACTGTTAGTTTTTATTATTTTCAAAAAGGAGGAGGTTCTCGATTTGGCTGTATATTTTTTTATGTTTGTTACCTCAGAACTCCGTCATATATTAACAGATTTGGACAATTTTTGTTTTGTTTGAAAGTGTATACTTCCAATTTGGTTTCATTTGAATTAAAAAATAAATAAAAAAAACTAGCTAATGAACATTTTACCTACTTCTTTTGTTATATTGACTTGAAAATTTGCAAGTGCCTCTATTTCCGATGATAGTGCAGTGGTTCTGAACTAAACTCTTCAACAGCTCATAGTAGATAGTAGATACTTTGAGTTTGGGCTTATTTTGTTTGATTTGACAAGCCCAATATGTTAGAATTGGATTTTAGAGCCAGAATTTTTAGTGTTACTAATAAAGGCGAATTTTAGTATCTCAGTCTTCATATAAAAATTGGCATCAAACTAACTTACAAGCGAATATTTTATTGAAATACTTTCTTCTTACTTTGCTACTACTCTGTCTACACTAAAAAGAAAAGAATAAAAACTTAGTATTCAGCCCTATTTTTTAACGTCCCACTGCTGGGCGCGGGCCTCCCTTCAGTACGAGGGGGATTTGGCCATAGTACACCACGCTGGCCAAATGCGGGTTGGCGGACTTCACATATCTTTCGAAAACTTACTAGGTTCTCTCAGACATGCAGGTTTCCTCACGATGTTTTCCTTCACCGTAAGGCAAGTGGTAATCGTGTTAGAAATAATTCGCACGTGAAAATATTAGAGTTGCGAGACCCGGGATTTGAACCCGCTTCATTCGGTTTCCCAAGCGAGCGTGTTACCACTGGGCTACCACTGCCTATAAAATAAAAACTAAAATAAAATAAAAATAAAAACCGATTTAAAAAAGACACTAATAAGTACTACCAATCAGTTATTTTTAAGTTGGTTTATATTTTATTCTTTAACTTTTTTTGAAATGAATATTATTTAATTATTATAAATGATCATTAACGGAATATTTATTTAATTTATAGAAGGTTAAAATAAAAAAGAAGGTTAAAATATAAGTAATTCATATTTATTTTTAGAACGATAGAGACCGGTAAAGAATATTTTCCTGTTCACTTTGAGGCTAACGAAATCTTAAGACTTTATGAACGGGGGTTTTACCATAACATTCATAACATAAGCTGCCTGAGAGATTTTCATTTTTAAATGAAATATTTGCCTTACGCAAAAACAGAATCCGTGAGATTTTGTTTAGTATACATGCTGCCACTAGACAAGATGTTATATTTTCATAATAAATAATACAATAAGACTCG